GGCAAAGTTTTATAGGAACACAAGTACATTTTTTCTCAGTCATTTATATATTGTCTATGGTTGATTTCAAGAAACCCTGGTGACACAGTGAGTAAGTGCTCAGCTGCTAACCAATACCAGCAAGAAAAATTTTACAGAATTCGTAAACTAATAAGTTCAGCTAATCACTATACTAACTGTACATATCATTAAAGTTCTCCTATTTCCTTCCTCCGTCCAGTTGTTTCTTACACCTCTATTTCAGAGACTCAAGTCCCAAACAACTCTGCAAAATGCTGTTGAATCCCCAGAAGTCTTAAACACCCCCCCCACCCACACACACACATAAACACACCAGTCAATTTTGACTCATCGCTACATTGTTGGGCAGGGGTGGGGAACTTTTTTTCTTCCAAAGGCCATTGGGATATTTATAACATCATTCACAGGCGATACTAAATTATCAACTTAAAATTAGCCTGCTATATTTGGTCAAACGATTAATTAACTTGGCAGCTCTGGTAGCGTAGTAGTTACAAGTTGGGTGGCTAACCCCAAGGTCAGCAGTTTGAAACTACCAGCTGTTCCGCAGGAGAAAGATGAGGGTTTCTGCTCCCATAAAGATTTACAGCCTCGGAAACCCTGTACAGGGTCGCTATGAGGCAGAACCAACTCCACAGTACACCACCACCATCAATGTGATGGCTAAGGAGCTCTGGTTGTGTAATGGTTACGAGTTGGTCTGCTAACCTCAAGGTCAACAGTTTGAAACTACCAGCTATTCTGCAAGAGAAAGATGATGCTTTCTGCTCCCATAAGGATTTACAGCCTCGGAAACCCTATGCAGGGTCACTAAGAATCAGCATCAACTCCATAACATACCACTACCACCACAATGTGACGACTGGAAATGAGGTTTGCCTTGGCAGGGCTAGACTAAATGATTTCATGGGCACACTAACAATAGCAGCATAGGGTCTGAGGGCCAGACATTCCCTTACCCCTGGCAGGATAACATAGAACTGCTCCCAACGGTTTCTGAGGCTGTCAGTCTTTATGAAGCAGGCTGCTTCATCTTTCTCCCTCGAGTGGCTGGTGGGTTTGTACCACCAACTTTTTGGTTAGCAGCCAGCTCAACGCTTAACTCACTGCACTATTTTTGACAACATATTATATGTTTATATAATTAATCCTCACTTTGGTTTTTTAAGGTAGGACCAGGTATCATGTATTTTCACAATATTTAAATGCCAGAAAACAGGATAGGTAGGGTTGAGGGATATAGCAACCCTTCCTTAAGACCTTTTTTAAGAATAAGAAAACATTTCCCCAAAAGCATTTGCACCAGCCACATAATTGCATTGTATGTCCCTTCCTAAAGCTCTCATTTGCCAGGGAAGAAATCACCATGATTGTGTTAAGTTCATTAAGTGGCCCTTCCTGGAACTATATCAGTAGTCTTTCCTGAGTACCATGACTGCTTGACACCAACTCTAAAAAATCGAGCTTTATTAATGCAAAGAAGAAAGAGAGAAAGGCTATTTGGTAGCTGTGTCTGCTAGGTATATTAAACATAAAGTATTTAAGTTTGATTCAAATGCCAAAATATTGTCCTTTAAAAAGTAAAAACTCTTATAAAAAAATCCCGATCAAAAGGAAGAAAATTCAGAACAGAATTTCAAATGCGCATGAACGCTAGACTTTCTAGAGTCACAGAAGCTTGGTGAACCCCTAAAACCACTGCCCTGAGACAATCTTTAAAGCTTAAACCAAAAATCTCCCCTGACCTATTAAACTCTCATTTAGTTTAGTACCAAAGTTTGCCTTGAGCATTAGGTTCCCTTTAGAATTATCTACATGGAATCAAATTAGCAACAGCAACTGGAAAGACTAGATAGGAAGCTGAAGGGGCAGTGAGTTTATGTAAATAAGAAGCAACTCAGAAAAGGCCAGTGAGGATGGCTGCATAACTTGAAGAATGGAATCAAGGACACTAAATTAAGTATACATGTAGAAACTGTAGAATCAGGGCATGTTCTGCTATGCATATCCTCAACACAGTAAGTAAAACTTTAAAGAAAAAAATTCCTGAGATGTTAGTAACAGTTTTAAGTTTCCACTTTTTTGTTGTGATTTTAAAAAAAAAATTCATAGATAAAAAAGCACCTAGAAAAAATGCCTAAATAAACAAAATACATGTCCTTTTGTTAATACTGAAAGGTAAACTGGCTATCTATTTGGCCTATAGGGAGGTGGCGATTAATAAAATAAATAAATAAAAAGATTTGCTCTGTTAATCTTGGCACTAATCTACCAAATCCATCCAATATTTCTTGAAGTCCTATCAGGCAGGAAGCCTTTGGATTAGGTTCAGTCCCTTTTGTTTTTCTAACTCCAGGTCTTTGCACATTTCGTTATAATATTTGACTTTGTCTTTTCGAACTGACGTTTGAAATTTTCTATTCATTAAATGTCTCCAGGTATCCAAAGGGCACAAGCAGCAGACCAAAGAAATATCAGACTTAAACAGGTTTGCCATCTTCAGCAACTAAATGGGGGACCATGTTTTACAGATCTGCCTCGGAAGAACACAGCTGTGTGGAAACAGGAAGTCAAGAACCAATGGCTATTTACTTCACCAGTGGAACCACAGGTTCTCCCAAGATGGCCCAGCACTCTCAGAGCAGCCTCGGCATTGGATACACCCTCTGTGGGAGGTAGGGAACTCTCTCCTGAGCTTCAAATATGTGTACCCAACTACCTAGTTAATACCCCTACTTAGACAATGATTCGATTTCTCAAAAATAACATCTGTACAACAGTGTTCCTGCCCTCCCAGAGCTCAGTGAACAGTACCATCTAACCAACTGACCAAATCAAAACAGGAACCCACTTGAATTCAATCCCCACAGCAGCAGGTCTGGCTCTTTTACCTCAGTGACAGGCCAAGTGACCTACCTTGTTTTGGTTTCCTCATAGAACTAATCACTATTTTAAATTGTTATTTACTTGTTGTTGTTGTTAGGCGCCATCGAGTTGGTAATGACTCATAGCGAACCTATGCACAACAGAAAGAAACACGTGCCAGACCTGGGCCAACCTCACGATCATTGCTATATTTGAGCCCATTGCTACCACTGTGCCAATCCATCTCGTTGGGTGTTTTCCTTTTTTTCCAACCTTCCACTTTACCAAATATGATATCCTTCTCCAGGGACTGGCCCTTCCTGATAACATGTCCAAAGTACAAGAGATGCAGTCTGGCCATCTTGGCTTTTAAGGAGCACTCTGGCTGCACTTCTTCCAACACAGATTGGTTTGTTCTTTTGGCAGTCCATATTACTTTCAGTATTCTCCTCCAACACCATAACTCAAAAGCATCAATTCTTCTATGGTCTTCCTTATTCACTGTGCAGCTTTCACGTGCATATGAAGTTATTGAAAATACCATGGTTTGGGTCAGACATAAATTAAGTCTTAAAATGGACAACTTCTGCTGTTGAACACTTTAGAGAGGTCTTGTGCAGCAGATTTGCCGAGTCCAATACGTCGTTAGATATCTTGACTGCTGCTTCCATGAGTGTTGATGATTAATCTGCGCAAAAGAAAGTTTTTGACAACTTCAGTCTTTTCTCCATCCATATGGATATTGCTTATTAGTCCAGTGGTGAGGATTTTTGTTTTCTTTACATTGAGGTAAAACCCATGCCAAAGGCTGTGGTCTTTGATTTTCATCAATAAGTATTTTAGGTCCTCTTTGCTTTCAGTAAACAAGGTTATATCATCTGCATGTCACAGGTTGCTAATGAGTCTTCCTCCAATCCTAATGCCATGTTTAACTTCATATAATTCAGTTTCTCAAATTATTTGCTCGGCGTACAAATTGAATAAGTATGGTGAAAGAACACAATCCTGGCACACACTTTTCCTAATTTTAAACTATTCAATGTTCCCTTGGTCTGTTCAAACAATTTCCTCTTGGTTTATGTACCAGTTCCTCATGAGCACAATTAAGTGTTCTGGAATACACAATCTCCACAATGTTGTCCATAGTCATGATCCACACAATCGAAAGACTTTGTATAGTCAATAAAGCACAGATAAACATCTTTCTGGTATTCTCTGCTTTCAGCCAAGACCCATCTGATGTCAGCAATGATATCCCTTGTTCCACATCCTCTTCAACATCTTGAGCCTCTGGAAATTCTCTGTCAGTGTATGGTTACAGCTGTTTTTGCATTATCTTTAGTAAAACTTTACTCACATGGGATATTAGTGATACTCACATGGGATATCAGTCCCATGATTTCCGCATTCTATTGGGTCACCTCTCTTTGGAATGGGTACAAATATGGATCTCTTCCATTCAGTTGGCCAGGTAGTTGTCTTCCAAATTTCTTGGCATTGATGAGTGAGTGCCTCCAGTGCTGCATCAGTTTATTGAAAGATTTCAATTTGTATTACATCAATTCCTGGAGCCTTATTCTTTGCCACTGACTTCAATGCACCTTGGAACTTCTTCCTTCAGAATCATTGGCTCTTGATCATGTTACCTCTTGAAATGGTTTAACACTAACCATTGCTTTTTGGTACATTGACTCTGTGTATTTCTTCCATCTCCTCTTCAAACTTTCTATATCATTCAATATTTTGTCCATAGAATCCTTCAATATTGTAAGTCATAAGCTGACTTTTTTCTTCAGCACCCTCAACATGAGAAATACTGTGTTCTTCCCTTTTGTTTTTCTAACTCCAGGTCTTTGCACATTTCGTTATAATATTTGACTTTGTCTTTTCGAACTGACGTTTGAAATTTTCTATTCAGCCCTTTAACTTCCTCATTGCTTCCATTTGCTTTAGCATCTCTATGATGGAGAGCAAGTTTCAGAGTCTCTTCTGACATCCATGTTGGTCTTTTCGTTCTTTCTTTTCTGAATGATCTTTTGCTTTCTTCCTCTATGATGTTCTTGATGTCATCTCACAACTCTTCTAGTCTTCGGACATTAGTGTCTGATTCATCAAATCTGTGTTTAGATAATCTCTAAAATCAGATGGGACATGTTTAAGGTCATATTTTAGCTTTTGTGGACTTGTTTTAATTTTCTTCAGCTTCAGCCGGTACTTGCATATGAACAACTGAAACAGTCTGTTTCACAGTCTGCACCTGGCCTTGTTTTGGATGATGATATGGAGCTTTTCTAAAGTCTCTTTCCACAGACTCAGTCAATTTGATTTCTGTGTATTCCATCTGGTGAGGTCCATGTGTATAATCATCTTTTATGTTGTTTTAAAAAGGTATTTGCAATGAAGAAGTCATTGGTCTTACAAAATTCTATCATGGTTTCTATCACCAAGGCCATATTTTCCAACAACTGATCCTTTGTCTTTGCATTCCAGTCACCAGTAATTATCAATACATCTTGACAGCACAGTTGATCAATTTCAGACTGAAGAAGTTGGTAGAATTCTTCAATTTCATCATCACTAGCTTTAGTGGTTGGTGTATAAATTTGCATAATAGTTGTATTAACTGGTTTTTCTTGTAGGCGTATGGGTATTATTTTAGCACAGACAGCATTGTACTACAAGACAGATCTTGATATGTTCTTTCTGATGATGAATGTGATGCCATTCTTCTTCAATTTGCCATTCCCGTCACAGTAAGTTAACTGATTGTCAGATTCAAAATGGCCAACACCTGTCCATTTCAACTCATTAATGACAAGGATATCAACCTTTATGCATGCCATTTCACTTTTGATAGTATCCAATTTACCTAGATTCATACTTCGTATATTCCATGTTCCAATTATTAATAGATTTTTACAGCTGTTACTCCTCATTTTGAGTTGTGCCCCATCAACAAATGAAGGTCTCAAAGGCTTTATTCCATTCGTGTCATCACGGTCAACTCTACTTTCAAGAGGTCTTTCTTCGCTAGTCGTATTTTAAGTGTCTTCCAACCTGAGGCACTCATATTCAAGCACTATAAGTGACAATATTCTGCTGCTCTTCAAAATGTTTCAATATTCAATATTCTGGCGCTGACAGTGTTCCACTGCTATTCATAATGTTTTCAGTGACTAAATATTTGGAAGTAGTCCATCTCTCCTTCTTCCTAGTCTGTCTTCATCTGGAAGCTCAGCTGAAACCATGGTGACCCTGCTGGTATTTAAAATACCTGTGGCATACCTTCCAGAATCACAGCAACACATAGACCACCATAGTATGACCAACTGACAGATGAGTGGAGAGTTAATTACTCATTATGTATGTATTCACTACCAGATCCATGAGGTTTGGTGTATCGTGCTCACTGTTATAGGGCACACAGTTAGCCACTAAATATTTGATGTGTCAGAAGATCATTCATCCCACTCTCAGACCACCAGATTCCAAAAGGGCCCTCTAATGAGAGTATTGTTTTGTTGTTGTTGTTAAGTTCTGTCAAGTCAATTCCAATTCATAGCAACATTTTACAGGGTTTCCAAGGCATAGCTGGTGGGTTTGAACTGCCGACATTGTGGTTCGCAGCCCAAGGCTGATCCTAGAGCACCACACCAGGAGTCCCTAACAAGAGCAGGACATAAAATCCCTCACTCTGTCAAGGGATGTCTTTTGACCTTGAGGTTCTGGGGCAAGAACCTCATTGAACCCATTGCCATAGAGTCAATTCTGTCTCCTAACAACTCTATAGGACAGAGCCCAACTGCCTCCATAGGATTTCCATGCTTGCTAGAACAGGGAAAAGAAGCTACCCACAGATCAACCACGAAGACTTAAGAAAATGCCCTGACTTGCCAGGAGAATCTAGTAAAAGGAAAAGTAGAACAGGGGACTTTCACCAAAACGAGGCATGCAGAGAGAAGAATAGGACTGATCTGAAGTGAACAAGGAAGTAACAATATCACTATAGTAAATCAGCATTACAATTAAGGAGCTCTGGTAGCGTAGTGGTTACGAATCGGGCTGCGAACCTTAAGGTCAGCAGTTCGAAACTACCAGCCGCTCCGCGGGAGAAAGATGAGGCTTTCTACTCCCGTAAAGATTTACACCCTCGGAAACCCTGTACAGGGTTGCTATGGGTCGGAACCGACTCGACGGCACTTAACAACAACAATTATAATAGATAGATGTAATGAAGAAAAAGTGCATCACACCTAAGAAGTGACCAGTTATGGGGCCTACATTATGACAGGAAAACATAGGAGTCAAGACAGTTATCAGTAGACCTGGCGCCCCTGAAGGGAAACAGCATAAAAGGCGAAATCAGGAACTCATTCTAGGCTCCCACTCATTCGAGAGGCAGAAGCCCATTCTCTCTGTGAGAACATCTCTGTATTGTCTATGCTCTTCATTATTAGATGTTCTTGTTTGCTTAGACCTGTTTCTCTGACTCCTTTCATGTGTGTTTTCTGCCTATTGTGCCTATACCCTGCCAATTCTCTGAAAGGTCAGTAGGACAGAAGTAGGATGCTTCATCTGTGCTGTGACAAAACAAGCACTGGACTGTTAACCACAAGTTCGGGCCCACCAGCTGCTTAGAGCAAGAAAGATAAAACTTTCTGCTCCCGTAGGCCACTCTGAGTCAGAAGCAGGTTGACAGTACTCAACAGCAACCACCACCATCTTTACAGGCGCAGATCCTTAGGTCTTTTCTCCTGTGGAGCAGCTCGTGGGTTCAAGTCACTGCCCTTTTGGTTATAGCCAAGCACCTCACCGTTGTACCACCATGGCTCGTTCTGGGACAAGACAATTCCTCAAAAACACCACAATTCATTTGCATTCCTTGGTTTTCTCCCTTATATCTGTTCTGTCACTTCTTCCTATCATTTAGGTATTGGCTAAACTTGAAGTCGTCAGATATTATATGGAACATGTCCGACACTGGCTGGGTCAAGGCTGCCATTGGTAGTGTGTTTTCTTCCTGGCTTCAAGGAGCCTGTGTTTTTGTGCATCGGATGGCCCAGTTTGACACAGACACCTTCCTCGATGTGAGTTATAACTTCAGCTACATTTGTCTTTAGAGCTCTCTTTTGTCTCCCACAAAACCACAAAGAAATGATCCTTCAGAATACAGGGCTTTTTGGGCTTACAGAAATAATTCTTTTTTAAAAAGCAAATTCCCCATAATACTCCCAGGCATGAAATTCAGTCTTCTCTTTCCAATTGTTCCTGGTTTTGCTAGTGTCGTTTAATCTGTGGCTACTTAAGAGCCTAGTTCTAACTAACAGATTAGAAATCTTAAATTTAACAAATATTGGGTTTCTGATTCAGTGAAACAAAGACAATAGCTGGAGGAGACTGAAGGCGGGATCACCTTTACCCAGAGGTGGCCCTTTGCCCTCCTCCCCCACGTCCTTCTCACTCTCCTAATTCTCAGTACTCAACAGAGAGACCAAGGTGTTACCTATCTTGCCAAGCCAGAGATGGCAAGATTGAGATAGCCAAGAGCTCCAGTTTCCTTAGCCATTAGAAAAGTGAGATTCTGGCCAATTATTTTCCACCCATAAAAAGTCAATTAAGTTGAACAAAACTCATATTATTAAATAAACTGCACAGCTGTGTGTGAATAAAAGCTATGTTCACACTCTGATAAGATGGAGAAACATAAGAACTGGCATCCCTATGTTGGGTTTACAATGTCCCCTGGAGTAGGCAATTTTGCTGTTTTAAAACCTACATTTGTGAAATAAGAATATGCTTTTACCATCTGTATCATAAATGCTTTAAAATCTTTGTGTATTTACACTATTTCCAATTATTTACATTGTTGTTGTTAAATGCTGCCAAGTCAGTTCCAATTCACAGTGGTCCTGTAAAGGGTTTCTAAGGTTTGAAGCTCTGACCTTGCTGTTCAAATTGACCTTGCAGTCAAGTGCTTACCCTACAGTACCACATCAGGACTCAAGTTGTATGCATTATACTAGGTAAAACAATTAGAATGAAGGAAGCAAGTTACACACAGTAGAAATGTTCATTTAAAGATCAAAAGCTCAATTCTGAAATATGAGGAATCGGTGATGAGTGCCTAGCATGTGACTAATGTCACTGAATCACACACTCCAAAGGGTTAAAATGGCAAGCTTGTGTCTCATGTATATATATATATTTGTTGTTTTTATTAGTAGTAAAAGGAGCCCTGGTAGCACCATGGTTAAGTGCGAACCAAAAGGTTGATGGTTTGAGGCCATCCAGCTGCTGTGTGGGAGAAAGACCTGGTGATTTGCTTCAAGACTATGACCTTTCTGAAGCAGATTGTCAGACCTGTTTTTCCAGGTGCTTCTTGGGTTTGAACCACCAATCTTTCAGCTCCTAGCTTTAAGTGGTTACCCATTTGCAGCCTTATATGAGAGGGCTTCAAAAATTAGTAGAAAAATGTTAATGACCATAGGATGTGCACACGTTAATGGAAGAGAGAAGTTGTAAACATTAGCTCTACCCTTGACTTGCAACTAACCATTCTGGCATCTGTTGTTTTCTCAATCCATGCAGACACTTACCAAGTATCCTATCACAACCCTGTGTAGCGCTCCCACTGTGTTCCGGATGCTGGTGCAAAAGGACCTCACCAGGTACTTGTGCAGAAATCTCCGCTTGAACCACAAGAAAAGCTATCATGCAGCATTACCAATTCCCCTCCGACAGGAAGGCTTAGGGCTTCTCAAGCACAGCACAAGTGACATTTAGGCCCGATAACTCTGTGTTGTGGGGGGCTGCCATGTGCACTTGTTATAAGGTATTCAGCAGCATCCCTGGCTTCCATGTACCAGATGCCCCTCTTCCAAACTGTGACAACTAAAATGTCTCCACACATTACCAAATGGCCCCTGGAGGGTAAAACCTCCCCAGAGAAGAACCAATGGGATACCATTTAGAGGTCACTGGACTTTTCCCTCAGGACAGCCAACTAATGTCCTAAACTCCTGATCTTTTAGTATCACTCACAGATGAGAACCAACTCAAAAGAATTGTTGTTCAGTGCCATCCAGCCAGTTATCACTCAGAGAGACCCTGTAGAGGGTTTCCCAGGAGCAGCTGGTGGGTTTGAACCACCTTGTGGTTAGTAGTCCAGTGCTTAGCCTACAGTACTACGCCAGGACTCCCAAAAGAATTGGTAGTCTGTGTTTAAAAACTATATTTAGATTTCCTCGAAGATAAGCCAAATCATCTGCACATACAGTGAGTGGAGTTGCAGTGATGTATTTTTAACTAATATAAATGGAGTCCACGAGGAAGGAGAGAAACCATTTCTGTACCAGTAGCTCTTCTGTCTGTTCCCACCAGAGTATGGCATCTCAGGAGGGAGAGTACTATGAGACAGAACAGACATGAATCTCCTCTTCCTAGTCAATGTCAACTCCTTTATGGCATCCTGCTCACATTTCACAATTTAAGGAAGACTCAAAGTCTATTCAAGGATGAGTCTGAATGCACACATTTGTGCCCTATCCCACTTCTTCCTACCCATTTGGGGCTTTACTCTATGTTAGTTGGGCTATTCTAAGCTTTCTAATCTTGAGTCCTGTAGGCAACTGAGTAGGAAAGCCAGTTCATACCCACTAGTGTCTCTGTGGAAGATATAGCTGTCAGCTTTCATAGATTTCAGTCTAGGAAGCCCCCCATGGCCAGTTATATTTTGCCCTCTAAGGGCCACTATGAATCAGAATTGACTCAGTGGTGGTGATTAAGAGCCACTTCGAAGAACTGTGGTAACTATTCAGTGTTGGCATGTTTGGTGCAATGTCCCATTAAAGGTTAAGTGCTGTAATCCAGAGTCTCCTTGTTGTTGTTAGGTGTTGTCAAGTCGGTTCCAACTCATAGCAACCCTGTATAGGGTTTCGCAGCTGTAAATCTCTGTGGGAGCAGAAAGCCTCATCTTTCTCCCACAGAGTAGCTGATAGGCTTGAACCACCAACCCTGTGGTTCCCAGTCCATTGTTTATCCTACTAAAACGCAAAGCTTTATTATTTGGGAGACTCTGGGCAAGTTCTTTAACCTCTCTCAGCCTCTATTTCCTCTTCTGTAAATGAGGATTGTTGTGAGGGTTAAGAATAAACTTTACACCATAATAAATGCTCAATTAAAGACAGCTATTATGACACTCGGCTCATAATAAGCACAGTATTATCAGCATTTTCTCCCACAGCAAGATTCCTGACAGTTTACTTTGCAACAGGTGCAGAAGTTAGCTAAAAAGGGGAATCTTGCTTTCATCACAAATGTGTTCCACATGCCCAGAACAGTATCTGACAGCGTAACAGATCCTAAATGATTATTTGTTGCATGAACTTTCCTAAGATCTACCTCTCCTCGCTTAGTTGCTTGTTTGCTTGAAAGTCACTCAGATTTCCCCTCCAAAGCCATTATGCTGCTCTTTCTCTCCAGGTATAAGTTCAAGAAGCTGCAGCACTGTTTGACGGGAGGAGAGCCACTCAACCCAGAGGTGCTGGAGCAGTGGAAGGCGCAAACGGGGCTGGAGCTGTACGAGGGCTATGGACAGACAGAAGTGGTATAGTTAACGGACCAAGTCTGGGATTAGTATAATGGGAGCACTTAACCAGGACTTCAACCCCCTTCAGAGAACTTGAATTTCCACACTTCTTGTTAAGTGCCTTCAAGTCAGTTCCCACTCATAGCAACCCTGTATAGTGTTTTGAAAGAGTGGTTGGTGAGCTTGAACCACCAACCTTGTGGTCCAGTGCTTGATCCCACAGCTCCACACCAGGCCACCCTAGCTCTACTGAATCAGAATTTACCTTTTTACAAGATTCTCTAGAAATGAAAATTCTGAATCAGAATGTACATCTTAACAAGATCCCCAGGAGTGTGGAAGCTATGCATTCTCAGCAGGGCTATCAAACCAGAATGTGCTGGTTCTGCCCTCAACAGAGCCCCTGGAATTAACAGTCACCAAAACCTGTGACTCATCCACTTAGGTCTGGCCTAAGGGGAATTATGATTGCTCCATATAACCTTCCTGTGTCCTCCTGCACAGGAAAAAATCGCAGGGATGGTAGGAGTTGCAAAGGACAAAAACAGAGCAGCTTCTCGTTCCACAGATCTGGGAAGGATCTCAGCAAGCCCCAGATGGGAATTTATTCCAAGGTGCACTTAATGGTACCCTTAGTCTAAAACAATGATTTTCCAAAGTGTGGTTCCCCAAACCAGCAACAGCATGTGGGAACTCTGTAGAAATACAAATTCTCAGATTCCACCTCAGACCTCCGGAATCAGAAACCCTGGGTGGGGCTCGGCAAGCTGTTTGTAGCAATGTTCCAGGTGATTCGGATGGAGGCTCAAGTTTGAGAAACACCACCCTCCACTCTAAAGTAATAGATTCCAGATTTGCTGCATACTTAACAAATCAACCAAAACGGACTCTTTCGTTCGCATATATATTTTATTCTCATATATACAGAAAACATATGTCTTCTCAATAGGGAATCATTTGTGCCAATCAGAAAGGACAAGAAATTAAACCAGGCTCGATGGGGAAAGGTGTGCCACCCTACGATGTCCAGGTCAGTGAAGGAAACATCTGATTGGTTCAAAGATAATGTTTTTGCAGTTTCCTGCTATCACTAAACTATCCATAACCCATTTTTCTTTTCATGAAATTTTTTTTAAAAAGAACTTGTCATTTCTTTCATCCCAGATTATAGATGAAAATGGCAATATCCTACCACCTGGCAAAGAAGGGGAAATTGCTCTCAGACTCAAGTCTACGCGGCCCTTCTGTTTCTTCTCTGAATATGTGGTATGAGAACGTAGACCGCGCTATTCACACTTTCACAGACAAGGTGGTTGGTACTGAGGATCATACAGACCAAAGCTCTTAGGCATCATTACTTGGTGTCATTTTGGGAAAGCTACAAAATCCAAGTCTGTTCCATGAGCTATAAAATAAATGATACTATCTGTCTCTTAAGAGTTGATTGAGCTTTATAAAGGTTAGATTCTCTGTATGAATTAACTGGTTGCAGCGGTTGTCTGCAGAAAGGAAAGCCAGGTGATAGACTGGGGTGAGGGGGCTATGTGGAGTGGAGGCATTAAAGGTAGAAGAGAGGCTAACATGTTGTTACATCCTTTTGGGTCTTGTATTTTATACTAGGAAAATTCTCTACAAACATTAGTTTCTTTTACAAATAGGATGTATAAAGCAGTGGGTAATGAGTGGGTGCCATACCGCCTCTGTTCTGACCAAATGAATCCCCAGTGTTGCCTGTGATTCCTAGGACAATCCGGAGAAAACTGCCGCCACAATGAGAGGACGTTTTTATGTCACTGGAGACAGAGCAGTGATGGACAGCGATGGGTATTTCTGGTTTGTCAGCCGAACTGATGATGTCATCATAACCTCTGGGTTTGTACATGTGCCACTAGGTGGTGGAGGTGGTGATGGTGTGCCAACAAATTGGTTCTGATTCATAGCGACCCTGTATAGGGTTTTCGAGGCTGTGTGGCACCATAGGATCAACACTGGACCGCGAACCACAAGGTTGGTAGTTCAATCCCATCAGCCGCTCCTCAGAAACCATATACAGGGTTGCTATGATTCAGAACGGACTCCACGGCACTTAACTATAATCTTTATGGGTGCAGAAATCCTCACCTTTCTCCCACAGAGTGCCTGATAGACTTGAACTACTGACCTTGAGGTTATGGAGCCCAATACATAACCCATTCGGCCACCAGGGCTCCATTGCCACACTTGGTCAAAACGTGCTCTAAGTATCTCGTTGTCAATGGTGCAGTGACCAAAGGACCCTTCGTTCTTGTCTCCTCCAGGTACCGCATCGGGCCCTTTGAAGTGGAGAGCGCTCTCATTGAGCATCCAGCAGTTGTGGAGTCCGCTGTGGTCAGCAGCCCAGACCCAATCAGAGGCGAGGTAGAGTGCATGTCACTGATGACAGCACCGACTCCGGGTTTCCAAGTGCTGTGCACGTAACCACTGTTGTAAAGCACAATCAAAAGTGGTCATCGACCTCACTGTGAGGCACAGAGCTGGCACATAAGTACAGGAGGCGATCACATTTACAAATGAGTTGTGTCCCAAAGGAAGTGTATTCAGATTCTTGGATGGCAAATGATGGAAACACAAACTGCCTTCAGTAAATACACACATAAAATACACGCAAGAGAACGTATTGGCTCCCATAAGGAGGCGGCCCAGGCAGAGTTGTCAGGCTTCAGGTACAGCTACATCCATGGGTTCATGTCTCCATTTCATGGCTCTGCTGTGTTTGCTCTGTCTGAGCAGGTTCTTCCTTGTTGACAGTAATTAACTCCAGGTTGGGCTTACACAACTTACCAGTGGAAAGAAAGCTTTAGTTCCAACTCCCAAGGGTTATTTGAACCTTTTGGAAATGAAGCTCTTCTTCCACTGGGGCTGTTAACTTGTATAATCCTGGAGTTAGTTGTTTTCCAGGAAGAAACTGGCCAAATGGAGCCAACACAACAAGCACAGCCAAGGAATTGGCCTATCTTGGATGACATCTCTAAACCCAATGTACATGGTCAAGGGAAGGGCATATACTAAACTGAACAGACCTGACTCATATACCTGTCCTTGGAGTTGGTGTCAAGTTCACCAAACAGAAGTTAAAGTAATCCACTATAGGAAAGTCAGGTGATGCTTACTACAAAAGGGCAGATGCTGCATAAGCAAAAACAGCAGCTTTCACTGAATACACAGCTGTCATGGGATTAGAACAGACCTTTCTCACAGAGACAATGCAAATAGAGGATTGTGGCCAGGTTCCCCAACAAGTTTCATACGACCTTTTCTTTATTCCCAGTTGCAGTCACATGGATTCCAACTCATGAAAAACCCTTGTGTGGCACAGATCTGTGCTCCACGGGGCTTACAGAGAAATGGAGCTTGGTAACCAACGGCTCCTTAACTAAGGACCGTGATCCCCCTGGTTCTATTCTAGGAGGAAGTCACACGGCACGGAAAGGTGATGCTTCTTACAGGCTCAGCAAATGGCAACATTGCCTTCCTAATGGCTTTTCCATCAGCCTCCTCCCCCATCCCTGTCTGTACACACTTCTCATACACCAGTGACCCTCTGCAGTGACACTGTGGATCCTATACTCTCTCCCCAACCCCCCATATCCCTGACACTCTTGTTGTAGTCCATTCTCTAAACATATTTTCCACCTGGCATCATAATCTCATTTTCTCAATATGAACAGCAGAGGTAATCAGAATCAATATATGAATCATAATTTATAGGTGAGTTTCAAAGAGAAATGTATATCCTAAAAACTATATAAAGAGTCATTTGGGAACAAATCAATCCCACCCCGAGTCTATCTCCAAGGATACAATCTTTCCTCCATCAGACTTTCCAAACCCTCTTCTAGATCCTGTATTTGTCCCCCAACTACAAGGGGACTTCTAAAAGGTCATCCAAACTTGGAATTAAGATTATAGATATCCACTAACTTTTTGAAGACCCTCAAACATGCTTCTGACAAGGAGCTTTGAAAGGTTCTTGGAGAAATCCCATTATCTTTTAACATTTCTCCAAGAACTTTTTGAAGTGCCCTCGTATAATACGAATAGTCTAACTGATGTTAAATTCATGTGTAACACACAACTAAATAAACCTCAAACTTTAACCTTACTGAACCAAGTACTCTACATGCTTCCAAAGATTTTCTAGAATTAGATCTCAAAATCAAATTATCTAAACTTTGTTCACAAGTCATCTCTGGCATTTGCATTCATTATTCAAGCTGCTATCAAGTACTTAAAACTCAGCAAGGGTTCCAAACACTTCGGCTATGTCTAAAAAACAAACGTACCAGTATGAATGGCCTTTTCTCCAACAGGTGGTGAAAGCTTTTGTTGTCTTATCTGCACCCTTTAAATCATCCAACCCAGAGAAATTAACTGTTGAACTTCAGGATCATGTGAAAAAAACAACCGCACCTTACAAATACCCAAGAAAGGTAAGTACATCACCAAACTAGGGACTGAATTGGTATATAGATTTTACTAGCTTACATAAACTCATATAGGTTACCATGCTTGGTAAAATGCAGGATTGGCAAAACAGAAGACCCCTCCAGTGAGATGGATCGGCAGTGAAAGCAGCAGTGTGCTCCAACGTTATTGCGAGTATGCACAGGACCAAACTTTGTCTTGTGTGCAGAGGGTTGCTGAGTCAGAAGCGACTCGACAGCACCTAACATTACATTCGGAGAAGGCACCGATTTCAACTGTAGTGCTTATTTTACTTTGGAATGTTTTACATTAGGACACTACAAATGTCTGATAAACTAGGAGTTTTAATCTTTTCAATATTAAGTAACTATGTTAAGAGTCATATGGAGGGAGGGGGGAGAGATGGCAAAGAATTAGCAAATATGTTGTTTCCAGGGATGGCACCTGAACTTTAGTTCTCTTGGACCATAATCCTTCTCTGTCAAACCACATGGTTCAAGTGAGCAAATTTAAGGGTCAGAAGGATGTTTCTTTGGACTCCATACTAGGCAGCAGAACAGCCAAAAGGTAGTTAGTTTTCATTCTAAGGGCTGGTCACATTTTTCCATTAAAATCTCTCAATCACCGACCAGTTAATTTTCTGAAAAAGTGTGAGGGCATTTAAAAACTTAGTAATTTAATCTTGGGGCTAGGAGAGAAACAGAGGAAGGATTTTGGGGTAGGCCTTCAAGTCCAAGTATAAGGAAAAAATTATACCTAAAATCTCTGTAAAGAAACTCCAAATGCCACAAACTAACTGGCATTTAGATATTGCCCCCACTCCCCTGAGACAGTAGAGATCTAGGTCGAGTCTGAACTGGAGAAAGTCGAGTGATAAAGGGAATTCTTTCTGGCAAAACATGACAGTGAAATAAAAGTGTCATCCTTCCCAGGTAAATGCAACAGATTCTGGTGTTCAAGAAATTCAGTGAGCCTAGGCTCAGACAATCCCCACTTGAAAACTCAACCTGTTTCAATGGAATCAAGTATCTTTTGGGTTTCTTTTTTCTTTTTTGTCTATTAGGTGGAATTTGTTCAAGAACTCCCAAAGACTATCACAGGAAAAATCAAACGAAATGTTTTACGAGACCAAGAATGGGGACGAAGATAACTTGATAAGAAATCTGAGCCGTTAATTATTTACCTATGTATTTTCTTTTAGTCTTTGCTTTCTTGTAATTCAGTGACTCCTCTTTAAAGAAAATGAGCCCTACGGATACACACTAATAAACAAACCCTGAGTTCAAACCCACAACTTCTGCTTCCAAAAAGATGGACAGCCTTGGCAACCCATGTGACAGCTCCTCTGTCCTACAGGGCTGTCCTGAGTGGGACTGACTCGACAGCACTGGATTTGGGTTTGGGGATACTCTTAAATATGCATTTTCCTGATTAAAAAATTCAACTGAGTTTTTGTTTTGTGTTTAGTCAAAGGGAACTTCTAGAAATATTTGGGAGAAAAAAGGTTATGACCAAATTGACAAAGGGCAAGGGTTATATTGATTTATAGTATTTAAAATAAGGAGCTCTGGTAGCGGAGGAGTTACGAATCAGGCTGCGAACCACAAAGTCAGCAGTTCGAAACTACCAGCTGCTCTGCGGGAGAAAGATGAGGCTTTCTGCTCCCGTAAAGATTTACAGCCTGTTCAGGGTCGCTATAGGTTGGAACCAACTCGATGGCACTTAACAAAAACAACATTTAAAATAGCAAAGACCAAGTGATTCCTCAGAGAAGGGAGAGTGGGCAGTGAGTGTTTTTCACTTATTTTGTGCCTGATTAAAATAAGGAGTCCTGGTGTGATGCTGTGGGCTAATGTGTCAGACTGCAAAGTCATCTGAACTGCAAGGAAGGTCAGTGATTCAAGCTCACCAGCTGCTCCTTGAAAACCCTCTACAGGTTCGCTATGGACTTGATGGTAATTAACAACAATCTAAAATAAAGAAGTATTCTAAGAGAAATGGTGGAAGACAATTTCTTCTGCTTAACATCTTTATCTATTACTAGTACTTTAATGTGAATTAAAACATTGTTGCAATCAGGAATACAATTTATTCAAAAGCCCCTGAATTTATTGGAATTTACTACTTTACCTCATTTTAAAACAAATGTACTATAAGATACCCCAAACGCTTAGTATTTTGGATTGTTACTTTGGTTAGCTAACTTTAATATATGACTTTTTTGATTATTTGCTATACAATTTGAAAGACAAGCATTTTAACATTTTTTAAGAGACTTTTCAAGACACAGAAAGGAAAAGCACAGAACAACAATCTTTAGGAAATAAATTTATTTTTCTGAAAACATCAGGAACTATGAAAAACAAGCCAAATATCTGGGCATACTATAGGCAAACACAGTAAAAATAACATTTGAAAACTATGTTTAACCTTAGAAACATGTTTAACTACAGAGCAAAACAAATATACTAAACCACAACACTGCTGGTGTGTTGTTGTTGTGAAGTGCCGTCGAGTCGGTTCACACCCACAGCGACCCTGTACAGGGTTTCCAAGGGTGTAAATCTTTACGGGAGTAGAAAGCCTCATCTTTCTCCAGCAGAGCGGCTGGTAGTTTCGAACTGCTGACCTTAAGGTTCGCAGCCCGATTTGTAACCACTACGCTACCACTGGATTTCTTTAAATGACATAATCTTTTCAAGTAAAAAATGTAAAGAAAAAAATCTTAAAAGCAAAGCTCTCAATTCCCACCCTGGAATCTCATCATTTATAAATTAACATGCTCAACTATCAGTGGAAATAAAAGTTTGTAAACCTGAAAACTAATCTTTCAATAAATTTAAGATCCCAAAGGAATCCCAAGGGAATAGTTATTTTACTGCGGGGTAAGAAACGGCTTGTCACAGTTTTTTACCCAATACAAAGAAACACAAGAGAATTGAAGACAACCTAGAAAATCACAATCTTTCTCCAGAGTCACAGCCTTCACAAAGCAAAGGCACTCAAAGCTGTCGAAGTTCTAGAGGCATACTGGAAGTTTCATTCCCAGAGTCCCTCTGTCTTGCACTATCAAAATAAAAGCATCTTTGTCTTGGAGCAAGCCTGCTGGAGGCACCAAAATTCTATCTTCCCTGTCCCACCAAATCCCAAAACTAAGCCCACTGCCATAAAGTTCAGTCCAGTTCACAACCACCCTATAGTGAACCTACAGTCCCCCAAGTGATACAAATCATGCTCTCATTTTTCAAGGTGATTTTAATCCCATTTAAGAGTACATTCTAAATAGTTAAACACGTATTAAAGCAATTCCAGCCTCTGGAGCCCTCCTGTGCATCAGCAAGGACTTGCCTATTCTGTCACCTAAATCCATCTAGTTTCGATTACCTAATCTTATCTACCCATTAAACTGACACAGCCAAATGTGTGAAGTCTTTATACTTTTTGCGTTTAACTTTTTATGGACTACACCTCAACAAAAAACAAAAACTCTCACAAATGGAGCAATTAGCAACATCAAAGTAAAGACGACTTTATGTGGATCCAGTGTCAATGCCCATGAAAGAGTCAGGATAGCAAATGAAGTATTGACCTGGGCAAATCTGCTGCAAAGGATCGCTTTAAAGTTAAAAAGCACAGAGGTCACTTTGAAGATTAGATGCACCTGACCCAAGTCATGGTATTTTCAATCGTGGTGCAGAAGGATCAGAATTGGACTGCTAACAACAAGATTTACCGTTCAAACCCACATATCACTCCTTGGAAACCCTATATGAGGGACACTATGAGTCAACTGACTCGACAGCACTTACCATATGCAAACGATGGAGAGTAACATGGAAGACCTAAGTAGAACTGACCCCTCTGAATTAAGGTGGTGAATTAAGGAGCTCTGGTAGCGTAGTGGTTACGAATCGGGCTGCAAACCTTAAGGTCAGCGGTTCGAAACTACCAGCCGCTCCGCGGGAGAAAGATGAGGCTTTCTACTCCCGTAAAGATTTACACCCTCGGAAACCCTGTACAGGGTCGCTATGGGTTGGAACCAACTCGATGGCACTTAACAACAACAACAAAGAATGTTATATGCCATGGACTGCCAGAATGAATAAACTGGTCTTGGAAGTTAACTCAGAATGCTCCTTAGAATCGAGTATGGTGAGACATCCTCTCAGATGTGTGATTGAGAGGGACCAGTTCCTGCAGAAGGGTTATGGGTCTTGGTAAAGGGTCAGGGAGAGAGGCAGGCCCTCCACAAGATGGGCGGACACCAGCTGCCACACTGGACCCAAAGTCAGAAAGGATGGTGCTGGCCGTGCAGCAATGGGCAGTGCATCTGTTATATACAGGCTTGCTCTGAGTTGGAACAATTTTCAAAAACATGAGCCAATCCATTTCTAAATGATACTTTCAGAGCCCCTCCCTAATAGTCTCAATCTTTGCAGCCCTCTTTGGTATCTGTCTCTTCTAGTCTTTTTTTTTTTTTTTTAACTTGGCAGGAAAACTTGAAATAACATTCAAATTCAGGAATCCCTGAATATGTATAGATGTAACCATTAAGTTGTAGACATAAAATCGCTTTATCTCACAGAAATCTACAATTTGTCAGCACAGGCTCACAGATTTCTCTTTTCTTAAAGACAAAAGCTCCAGTTGAGCAGATTTAAATAAAGCGTTCCATGCCCAGTCTCTCAACAGCTACTCTTGTTGGGAAAATACAGTAAAATTTTGTTTTGCAGTTTTTCTAGGTTTTTTAAGACATTGTTCATTCTCATACTCAAGTGGCTATGGAAACATCTCAAGAGCTCCTTTGGTAACATTAGTTTTTCAGAAGCCAGTTTCCTTTTAAACCTAAGAATCTTATTACTTTAAAAAAACACATTTTCTCCAGGACCTAGTGGAAATAAATGTGTTCACATGCGATGAAAAATGTCCTGCTAAACAGGCTATTTCCTGTAGCCACTCCTCATCCTCCAAGCACTCAGTAAATTCTGACCTACTATTTTTGTGCACAAGACGTTTTTAAAGTGTTGAAGAGCAAAGATGTCAGCTTGAGGACTACGGTGCACCTGACCCACGCCATATTTTCAATAATCTCATATGCATGTGTGAAAGCTGGACAGTGAATAAGGAATACGGTAGAAGAATTGATGCCTTTGAGTTATGGTGTTGGAGGAGAATACTGAAAGTGCCATGGGCTGCCAGAAGAACCAATAGATCCGTTTTGAAACAAGTGCAGCCAGAGTGCTCCTTGGAGGCCAAGATGACCAAACTTCATCTCTCATACTTTGGACATATTGTCAGGACGGACCAGTCACTGGAGAAGGATATCATGTTTGGTAAGGTGGAAGGTCAGAGAAAGAGTAATACCACCAATGAGATGGATTGGCCAAGTGGCAGCATCGATGGACACAAGTGTGACAATAGTGAGGTTGGCCCAGGATTGGGCAGTGTTTTGTTCTGCTGTGCATAAGGTCCCTATGAGTCGGTGCCGACTTGATGGCACCTAACAACAATTTTTGGCAAGTTCTTTACCTGACAGTTCACCTTTCTGATACCCTGCTGAGAACTCTTTAACAAGGATAACTAGAGGATTTCTATGTGTATGTAGCAAGGACATACACTTTTTGGCAAGATTTTAGTTTAACATTCTTGCATGAATGTGTCTTTTGTTTATTAAACATTTACTATTTGTGTAGCATTATTCAGAACTTACCTTTGGCTCCAAGTCTTTCACATCAGCACCTCCCTGAAGAAAGCAGTGTGCTGTAATATTTATGTTAGGATTTCCATTCTTATGTAAAACATGCCATGGAGCCAACCACTGGCAGGACACCAGAAGTGCAGATGACAGACTTTTGATTTCCAAATATAAAGACACAGCAATAAGCATTTACTGACCTTTGGGGCAGTCTGCAGCAGGAAAGGTTTTCTTGAATTTCATCATCATTTACATATCTCACAAATACGATAACATGACAAGTATTGGTGGAATCTGTTTACACATAAGCCTGGAGAGAAATTACTGCTTTTGTTATTTACGTAACACCTTACTAAATTCAAGAGTAAATTATTTTTTCAGTTTCTTATGCTACATTTTGTCCATTATTAGACTCACCAACTATCTTTCCTAGGCTAAGTGCTGCTCCTAAAAAATAAAAACTCGCTTCAGGCACTTTTTAACTGCACTTGACAGTTTTCTCACCAGTTTTACTGTTTAATATTCTAATACTCATTTAAAATAATCAACACCTTTACTTGTCAAACTGCTGGAACAACTGCTAGATCTATAAACTGTTTGTTGTTATTGGTGTGAAGCGCTATCAAGTCGGTTCCAACTCATAGTAACCCTGTATAAGAGGAGTGGCTTGTGAGCCTGAACCGCTGACTTTACAGTTCAAACTAACTTTGCAGTCCAGCGTATTAACCTGCAGCGCCACCAACAGATAATGAATGAAATAAGACAGTCTGGTTGACTAGACAATATAAAATCTTTATAAGTAGCTTTTATTGTACACGTTTTGTGTCCCTTGTTACATAGTATGCTGAAGTAGTTCAGATGAGTGTAATTCTTCACTAGTAACTTTGTCAGAAATGTCTGCAGGCCAATACCTAGAATGTTGCTCTTCTATTTCAAACTTTCCCTTCATAAATTACAGCACTGGATTACCAAATTTACTTGTGACAAATGTTAATAAAATATAACCATGGGCATAAAAATTAAGAAAAATTACACACACACCAAAAAAAAAAAAAAACACCCAAAAAAACCCACAAAACAATTCACTTCTAATGTACCCAATCCATGAAAACTTCCCTCTGGTCTTAGTTTGCTCCCAAAAATCAAGTGTCAGTAAGCGAAGGGAAAGGGAACCACAAGAGAGCAAGGCCATCTGCCCTCAATGCACTAGTGTTCGCCAGGTATCAAAAGCTTCTCCTGGCTCAACTGAATGCACATGGGACTACTGGGAGTTAATACCCAGGGCTGACAAACTCTACCAAAACTGCAAACAGGGTTGTGTGGGCCCTGTTCACTAGTGAGTGTCAGTCATATGTAATATACAAAGTCCAAGGTTTGTTTTTTTTAGTCACAATTTCTCAAGGAATCTCAAAGAACACTAGTTTAGAAACCCACCTTCAACACTGAATGGTTTTCCCCCCTATGTGAGGTCATTTTCAGTTGACTTGGCTTCGCCGGGCACTTGACTTTCAAGTTCAGGTTTAGTTCCTTCTCCAGTCTCTACCTGTGTCTCCACCTCCTCACGATTCTCTGGTACCTCCTGCTGGTCATGTTTTCCTTCTGCTGGGTCACTGGGATGTGATTTGTCACCAGCTTCCAATTCAGCTTCTTTCCCATTTCCTGCATGTGTTGCCTGCTTTGGGTTCAACAGTGGCAAGTCCTTAGCACTCTTCACAACCTCCTGAAGATTATACTTTCTGAACAACATGTAATCTTTCACAACACTCAGGCAACAGACAGCTTTGATGATTTCTACTACCACCGTGTACTGTGGATTGGTAAGATCCACTTTATTTTCTGAATTGAGGTTGCCTACTATTCCTGTAAAGAAAAGAACAAGGAAACCCGTAAGCTGAGGACAATGCTAAGCTTGATGAGTACAATCTGTCATCCCTCCATTTGCAGCTTGTTCACATTCTTCTACAAGACTTCAAATTCACTGAAACATGTGATGAAAGAGTAATTTTCTTTCTAAAAAACTAACAAAATATTCCATCTTGATTTGAAAAAGACTAAAAACTAGAAAAATCCCATATCCAATAAAATTAGTTAGGTTTGTGTTAACTTCCTGAGAGCTGACCTCAAGGACCTAAGAACTGCCCTGTTCTGACTCATAGCGGACCCTGTATAGAGTTTCCGAGGAGCAGGTGGTGGGCTTCAACTGCTGACCTTGTGAATCATGTGCAGTGTTGATCCTACAGCACACTAGATGTCCAGGAATTTCCCGAGTGATTGAACATTCTTTGATAAGGGCGCCAGGCCAAGTGATGCTAATGAGATGACTCTGGGGCAGGTCAGAAGACCCACCTGGTGATACCACCACACGCTTCAGTCATGAGGCCCAAAGAAAGGCTCAAGACATGGAAGTTCCACAAGTTTCCTGGCTGGTGAAAGATACAAATGCAGATAGGAGGGTAACATGTCCCTCATTGACTGTGGACTCTCCCAGACCTCACTCTATGCATCATTTCATTGGTTTACTTTTTGTCATAATTGGTATCTTAAGTAGAGAGCTTTCCTGAGTGCTGAGTTATTCTAGCAAATTAAACCCAATGGGGTGGTAGGACCCAGCAGGGCAGAAGTGAGGGTGTCATGGACACTCCCAACACTGAAGCTGGCACCTGAAGTGTTCGGCAAACTTGGCAGTATGGAAGATGTCTGCCCTTTAATTTTGAGGTCTGGCTTACCTCTGGATAGTCAGGGCCAGAGGAATAGATGCTGCATGTGTAGCCAATGATGGTACAGAACTGGCAATAAACTGTTGAAGAAGTGGGGATTTTCCTAGCAGTTTGAAATTATTTTAAGGACATTTTAATATACTTGTTCCACACTCTCAGTCATAAGCCTAAGTCGTTTTTTAATTTTAAAATCAAAAACAGTATCGGAAATTGGACCTATATGGAAACACTAAGAGAAACATACCTGCCAATTCTTTGATAACTTCTTCTCTATTCATGTGACTGTTGTTTCGAGATTTATATACAATCTGAAATGTCCCTTTATTTGGTGCTTTAAACCAAGGTTCCAAAAATGTTTCTGCATATTTTTTCATTTCCTCTAAGAAAGCTTTGCACGTGCCCGAGATGGGTAACATTCGTAGAATAACCCGAGTCTTCTTCTTCTTGGTTTTGTACATATCCTGAAGAATGTGATGCACCAATTTCTCAGGCTCTAGAAGTCAGCAGAGAGCAAACAAGTAGGTTAAGAATGTAAGTTCTCGAACACTTTACAGATTACCCAAACTCTCTAAATTGGCACTGATTCAAGTTGATCAAAGAAGGAATTTTCACACAAAAAAAATCAGTCTACCCAGCGTGGTGGCTCCATATGCCAAGTACTGGACTGAGAACCACAAGGTCCAAAGTTCAAGTCCACTAGCCGCTCCATGGGGGGAAGATCTGAAGCCTCAGAAACCCTATACAGGGTCTATGAGTCAGAGCTGACTAAACGGCACGTCACCACCACCACTCAGTCATTTAATAACTTTTTTTTATCAACTATTATTTCTTCAGTACTGTGTATGAGGGTAAGTCAAAAGTATTACTAGGGTCTCAGTTCATACATGCACATGTTTATTTCAAATTAAAACATGTTGACATACATCTCTGTGATCAGTAGATGGCTGCAAACAAGTAGGGTGCGCCTTCAAATATAAAACAGTTTTTGTGCTACCAGAACAAAACCATTTTTGAAGTCAGGGTTGAGTTCAAATTTTAAACAAACCTCAAGTGGACATCTCCCCAAATCATGAACCTTTGCAACAACTCTATGAAAATGCTGCCCCACATAAACAAAGTTTTTAGAAGAATCAAGCATTTTAAAGGTCAGGAATACCTCAAATATAAGCCATTAACCTAGGCACATGACAGAAATGACAAGAAGAAAGACCCACCAACCTTGGCACATGGAAGAAATGATGGCTCAAGTCAGAACACTGTGCTAAGAAAGCTACTGAAAGTGAGATCTCACATGGTTTAGAATTTTCAATTTTAAGTGAACATCTTGGCCTCGACAAGCCTTCACGTTGAAGGGTGCCCAAAGCACTGCACAAAGATCAGCTAGTTCAAAGAGCTGATCTTTCTATCAGTCTTTTAAGCAAGATGGACGCTAATGAAGATGACTTTATGGAACAAATTGTAACTGGGGGATTAGTCTTGGATTCAACATGATCTAGAGAACTAGGTCCAATCTAAACTGTGGCTTCTGAGGGTATCTGCTAAGCTAATTAAATTTAAGGCAGAGAGGTCAGCTCACAAGTTACGGTGACTGTTTTGGTGGATGCCAGAGGGGAAATCTTGATGGATTTTCTCCAAGGACACAGAAAAGTCATGGAGGTTTATGAGGAAGAAGTTTTAAGAAAACTGAAAACTACACTGATGAGAAAAAGGCCAGGAAAGTTACATCAAGGACTTTTTTCCATATGACAATGTACTTACTCATTCTTTGAGGAAAGCAAGGGTTGTCTTACAAGAAGTTTTGGGTAACCTTACCCTATTCACCCTACAGCCATGATTTTGCCCCTTCATACTTCTTTCTGTTATCAAAACTCAAAGAATATTGAAAAGGAACATGATTTGCATCCCTTGAGAATGCCCAAACTGCCATTTTGACGTGATATAAACTGAAGAGCACAGAATTCTTTAAGAAAGGGTTAGAGATAAAAAAGCTGTTTTTCTGAAGTGTATATTCACTTAGATGGAGGATAGATATGTTGAGAAACAGCAGCTCCACATTTTTATATTTTTAATGGAGGTTTCTATGATTTTGTCAGAATACTTTTGACTTACTCTTGTATTTATTATTTTAACTCCTCAATATTATTGTTAAAACCAACTGTTCATGAAGACATCGTAAAGTTAACATTTTTGTGAAATCCTGATTTATTCTAACCGTAACATCATTCTGTTGTTTTCATGTAACGATGGCAACCATTAAAGAAACAAACCTTACACAGTATCACCTTCTTACAAACACAAAACTCTACAACTCACTTGAGAAGGATTTAATTAACCCATCAGTTATGTTAGTACACACATCTAGCTCCTAGAGCTGGGAAGAGCAGAACCCCAGAGCCTTGAGGTGTGCAAGACTATAAAGTGGGAGCCCTCAGACCACATCCTGTTTATATACCAGTCTGGGTGGGGATACTCATTTTCAGTACTGGGTCAAAACCGACTCGACAGCACTTAACAACTCTGAGTAGCACTGCCCCTTTTAGGGGCCTGGTAGCGTAGTGGTTACAAATCAGGCTGGTAACCTCAAGGTCAGCAGTTCGAAACTACCAGCTGTTCTGCGGAAGAAAGATGAGGCTTTCTGCTATTGTAAAGATCTGCAGCCTCAGAAACCCTGTGAAGGACCACTATGAGTCGGAACTGACTCCACAATACTTAACAACAACAACTCTCACTTTGCCTGAAGTTACTTCAGAAGGAAGATACAAAGCAGATGCTCCCAAATCAATGCCACGCCCACTACCCCACCCACCTCTCTACAGGGCTAAGGCTCCTCCTACAGTGCAGACAATAAGTCATGAGCCACACCCAGAAAGCCACTTCCTAGGTAGTGTTCAGTGAGATAAAGAAATGTCCAAATATGACAGGAACAAGAGTCTTACAGAGTATAAGTCAGACACACCTATCCCAAGTGTTCGGATGAAGACTACATTATTTGCTCCACTCTCCATGGACTGGAATCTTCTTAACCTCATCTCTGTAGAGGCCCTGATGTCATCAACTTCTTTCTTCAGTGCGGCCTCCACGTCATCGTCTTCTCCCTCATTTCCAGAGAGCTGCTGATTCTTGTCTGTAAACTGTTGGCATAAGGTTAATGAGCAGAAATGCCACAACAATCATGTTTAAAACTGTCATTAAGTACTAAGAAGAAACCCCCAGTGGCAGAAGGCACAATTCAAGCTTTTATTGAGAGGCTGAGATGCCACTTCTCCAAAACACAGAGGACAGAGTTCCCACAGAACGTGGTACATATCAATTGAAAATGTTTTTGTTGTTGTTTTTTTTAAAGAATCTTGAGTGTGGCCGGAATCATTTCAGAGTTGACCTTACAAGGCATCAAGAGGTACCTTTGCACCTGATAAGTCAGAATACTCTCCTTTTGATGGGGTGAGACCAAATACTTTTAAAGAATTCAAAATCTTTCCTTATGTTCTTCTGAGGAACAGGGCACAGAAATAGTTCAAAAGCTTGTTCAAGGGATCCATATAGACAGGACATGACTTGTTGTCCAGTTCTCTGCCCTGCCAGGAGGTTTGCCAACCTGGCACTAAACAGCAACACATATTTATAAGCCTTTATTATGCACCACCTTAATATTTATGGGCATAAGAAAATTTCTAGCTTCAAGACAAATCTAAAATTATTTTTTACAAATAAAGAAACTCTAGCTCAACAGTTAAGGAGCTCTGGTAGCGTAGTGGTTACGAATCGGGCTGCGAACCTTAAGGTCAGCGGTTCGAAACTACCAGCTGCTCCACCGGAGAAAGATGAGGCTTTCTACTCCCGTAAAGATTTACACCCTCGGAAACCCTATACAGGGTCGCAATGGGTCGGAACCGACTCGATGGCACATAACAACAACAACAGCTCAACAGTTAACTTGTTCATTTTCACAGGACAGCCTGAATTTAATCCCTTCTGTGCTATCCAAGGAGCCCTGATGGTACAGTGAGGCTAAATGTTGAGCTGCCAACGGCAAAGTCAGCAGTTCAAACCCACCAGGTGCTCTCCAGGAGACAATGCTATCTGCTCCCTTAACGATATAGTCTTGGAAACACTATGGAGTTCTACTTTTCCTATAGGAGTCCTGGTGTGGTGCTGTGGGTTAATGCGCTGGACTGCATAGTCGGTTTGCACCACAAGGTCGGCGGTTCAAGCACACCAGCCACTCCTCAGAAACCCTATGCTGGGTCGCTATGGGTCTGAACTGACTCGACGGCACTTAATAATAGTTTTTTATTATAATTGCTGAAAGTCCGAATCAACTTGATAGCAATGGCTTTGGTTTGTGTATTATCCATTTCATTCTATTAGACATAGAGGTCACTATGAGTGAACCAACTCAAGGGTACCTAACTCAACAGCATGCATTATTCTCTTTCACTTATCCCACGTGTGTATGTACTGATTCATCAACCAACAATATGATTTCCAAACTGTGACGGGACAATTAGATTTTAGATGGTAGTGGTATGAAACACAGGGCCTGGGTGGTACAACTGGATTGTGATAGTTCGAAACCATCCATCGGCTCTGTGGAAACATGACCTGTGGAAATCACTTCCTCAAAGGTTGTTGTTGTTAAGTACCATCGAGTGAGTTCTGACTCTTAGCAACCCTGTACAGGGTTTCCGACGAGCAGCTTGGTGTCTGAATGGCCGGCCTGTGGCTCCCGTCCAATGCTCATCTAGAGCACCACACCAGGAGTCCCCTTCAAAGAGTACAGCCTTGAGACCCCTATGAAGCAGCTCTCCTCTGCAGCACATGGGATCATCAGGTGTCATAACAGCTTGAAGGCAACAGGTTTGTATGTGTGTTGTTTACTTCAAAAATGTTGATGTTTTAAAATAACTAGCACACTAATCCCATCACTTCAGAAGCATCACTGCTTAGGACCTGTGAGCACTAGTGGTGCAGTGGTTAATCACTCAATTGCCTATCAAAAGGTCAGTGGTTCAAACCTACCAGTCGCTCCACAGGAGAAAGATATAAAAGCATTCTGCTCTTATAAAGACGTAACAGCCTCAGAACTCCTACAGGGTGGTTCTACAAAGGGGCTTCAAAAAGCTTATGGAAAAACGTCATTCTCATTCTCTTTTGATTCCACTTTTTGAAGCTCTTGTACTCTGTCCTCTAGGGATGCTGGAATGGACTCAACATCAGTGGCTCGTTGTTTAGGGGGTGCGGATGCTCTGCACATGACTGCTAACCAAAAGGCTGGTGGTTCACTTTCATCCCGAGGATCTGAAGAAGTGTTGCTGTCAGTTGCCATCTAATCGATCCCCACTCCTGGCAACCCCATGTCTGCAGAGCACTGTTCCATGGGTGCCTGTCAGATGGCTCTGAACTGCCAACTTTTCTGACAGTTGCTGTGTGGCTAAGTGCCATCGAGGCAGTTCCGACTCATAGCAATGCTATATAGTTTTGGAGAAGTGGCTGGTGAGTTTTAATTGTCAACCCTGTGGCTTAAACCAAAACAAGACATGCTTGAAGCAAATCCTTCATAAAATGGTTGGCATGAGGGTTAAATTGTGTGTCATGTCTGAAGGGCTTCAGTACACCAGGCCATTAATGGGACCTACTGAACCTACCAGCAGCTCTGCGGGAGAAATACCTGGTAATCTGCCCAAAGACTGTTGTTAAGTGCCGTCGAGTCAGTTCTGACCCTCTATAAGGTTTTCAGGAAGCGGCTGGTAAGCTTGCACCACCGACCTTTGCAGTCCAGCCCATTAAGCCACAGCGCCACAAAAAACCCTTTTGCGGTTAATGCGCCGGACTGCAAGGTTGGTTTTGAACTGCAAGGTGGGCGGTTCAAGCTCACCAGCCACTCCTCGGAAACCCTATACGGGTTCTTTGTGAGTAGGAATTGACTCCATGGCATTTAACAACCACCTGTCCTGGCGTGGCGCTGTAGCATCAGTACAAGGTCAGCGGTTTGAGCCCGCCCGCCGCTCCGCGAAAAATGAGATTTAAAGATTAAAAGCGAAGATTTAAAGCCCGGGAACTCCTATACAGGGTCGATAAGAGTCGGAACTGACTCGACGGAACTTAACAACAACAACCTGTCATCTAAGACTGCTGTGTGTCGGAATCGACACAAAATTTTTTTAAAAAACAAAAACCCAAGGTACCAGCACTGAAACACGAAACAAAGCAAGTCATGAGAATTGTGTGGGAATCGAACTGCTGACCCAGACGAGGGCGGAGTGTGTAACGGAGATAATGCGGAGGGCAGAAACATAGACAAGGCTACGCGCTCTCGCCGCCGCGGGCACCCCAAAATGCGTAGAATGGCAGCGACCGAGCAGGCCGCCCGCCCTCGTCCCTCGCGCCCCGCCGGCCCGCCCGGGGTTGGTACCTTTTCCGGCCCGTACAGGTCGTCGCCGTATTCGTTAAGCAGGCTGTAGGCCTCCTCCACGCATTTGCGCTCGTTCATGTTGCAAGTGATGAGTATGCCCTGTAGTCCAGGCTCCAGCTGCCGGGGCCCGCCGGCGTCCCAGCGCCGAGCCCGCTTGGCCTGCCCGTACACGGCTTTTCCTTTGCGCTTCCCGCCGGCAGGCTGTGGCGGGTGCTCGACTGGCGACGCCATTGCGCGCGTGAACCACCACGAGCAAGGAAACGTGCTTCTCACGGTTTCCGGCGTCCTCACCTTTACTGACGCCGACTGCTTACGTCAGGCGTGCGCGACGGCCTCGCGTAGTCCTGCCTCCTAGCCTCGTTTCCTAACTTCCTGGCGTATAGGTTCTCTTGTGAAGCTGGGAAGCAGCGCTACACCAGGACTCCTAAAAGGGCTCTGTGACAATGCAGGGGAGAGCAAAATGTGAAGTTCTCAACAACAGAGTGGTGGTGGTGTGCTGTGGAGTCGGTGCTGACTCATACACCCTGTAAATTTTTATGGGAGCAGAAAGCCTCACCTTTCTCCACGAGGAATGGTTAGTAGTGTTGAACTGCTGGCTTTGAGGTTAGCAGTACAACTCCTAGCCACTAAGCAACCAGAGTTCCTTCAACAACTGGGTAACAGTCACTAACACATAATCAGTAGACAAAAATAGGTCCCAAGCATGACTCACCATTCATACACACACACACATTCATACACACACACACATTCCCCTCTAGAGGAACCAAGACCAAGGCCTGTTTTCCTGATCCTGTAATCCTTGCTCTGTGTGATCCTATTCACAGGAGCGGTCATCTGAGGAGTCACTTGCCCCAAACCAAGGCTCCCTTGGCAGCTCCTCAGACCACCAGCCCTATCTGTCCCAGACTTGAATTGGATAACCTGGGCCGCTCACTGATATCATGCATTGCTCAAGTAAGCTCTGAGCGCAGAAGGGGACCAGGAACAAGATGCTGCAGTTCAGCTCCCCTACAGGCCCAGCAGGGAAAGTTAGTACCCTTATGACTGTGAGAAACTTTCAGGAGGGCTGGTCCGGCATTGTACCCCTAAATCTCAGTGATCAACTGTCCCTTCATGGAGATGCCAGAAATTGTAACCTGTCCTGGTGTGAAGCTGTAGGATCAGCACTGAACTGCAAAACACAACGTTGGCAGTTCAAACCCACCAGCTGCTCCTTGGAAGCGCTATAGAGGGTCACTATGAGTCGCAACCGACTCGACAGCACGTAACAACAACCTGTCATATGCGAGCATGGTGGCTCCATACAATAATCACTGAACTGTGAACCACTAGGTCCACGGTTTAAGCCCACATGCCACTCTATGGAAGATGAGACTTTTCTGCTCCGGTGAAAATTTAAAACCTTGGAATCCCAATACAAAGTCGATATGAGTCAGAACCAACTCAACAGCACTTAATAACAACAACAAAGTGCAAGCATTGAAGCACAAGACGACACATGTATTCAAGGTTTCCTTTGGTCGGTCAACGGAGTTTTAGTCCCCTTCTGCAGTTGACCAGTACTCAGAAACAGGACTTAAAGCAAAGAGCAAAGCGTTTATTGGGTATGTACAGACATGCTAACAGAGAAGCAGGAATCGCCCAGATCTGCCTTCTGTAGTGCAGACTAGGACTTTTAAGGGGAAAGAAAATCAGGATCATGTGACTGTGGGAAGGCATCGTTGTATTGTGTTTCCATTCCAGTTGTTGGGTTGCGTCTCAGACTCAATGATTGTTTCAAATGTTCTTGTTTGCTGATTTAGACTGTGTTCCCAGGGAGAAGAGTTGGCACGCTTATCTGAGCCATAAATTCTACTCTGGAGATTAAAAGAGTGATTAATTTTGGAATACAGTTGTGGGGAGGGGGGGACTTTAACTATAGCTACTGCTTTAAAATGGGTAATTGGGTTCATTTTACTTTAGACTGAGCCTAACCTTCTCAGCAATCCTGTTTCGCAGTGTCCCCTACTTCTCAGTGCCCCTGTTTAAAGAGGGAAAACAACAACAACACATGCTCAGCTGCTAACTGAAAGCTTGGCGGCTCCTATCCAGCTAGAGAGGCCCTGGAGTAGAAGCCTGGTAATCTACTTCTGAAGGATCAGCCGTCGAAAGCCCGAGGGTCACCCAGGAGTCAGAAAAGATTTGATGGCAACTGGTTTTATTTTAGAAAATGTGGTCAGGGAGGGCCTCTGAAAGAACACCGAATAAAATGAATGGCTTGATCAAGAGGATATCAGAGGTAAGAGTGTTTCAGTGTTCAAAGACCCTGCAACTGGACCCTGTATGGTGTAAGGAAAAAAAGGGGGCTGGTGGGGCTGCCGAAGGGTGATCAAGGGGAGGCAGAGTAACCATGTCTACTCAAGGATCAAACAGAGGCATGTCCTAATAGTGCTCAGGTTCGTTCCTGGCCAATTCAACAGAAAACTACAACTTCTAATCTGCTGAAATATCTCTTTCTTTCCTCCTCCCTTTGTGACCACTCTGTGTCTTCCTCCATACTTTCTTCTTCTGTCTTTCTGAGAAAGAACGCCCCCTGCTCCTTCACTAGTGCTCTCTAGCAATTCGTGGAGGGATCCCTGGTGGTGCAGTGGTTAAACGCTTGCCTACGACCTGAAAGCTTCCGCAAAAATTAAAGCCTTTAAAACCCTGGGAGCCGTTTTACTCGGTCCTATAGAGTTGCTATGCGTCGGGATCACTCAAATGCAATGGGTTTGGTTTGGTGCAGCAAGTCCTTATGAACCCTGGTGGTGCAGTGATTAAGCACTTGGCTGTTAACCAAAACGTCAGGGGTTTGAATCTGCAAGCCACTCTGAGGGAAACAGCTGTGGCAGTCTGTTGCTCTGAAGATGACAGGCTTGGAGGCCCCACCAGGCAGTTCTACTCTGTCCTATAGGACTGCTCTGAGTTGGAAGGAACTCATGACATACAACAATAACAAAGCCATTCCAAACCAGAACCAAGATGGCAGACCCTCTGCATCAGAAAGAAGGGAGACCAATTGAAACACACAAATGATTATTCTGGAACCCTGAGCTTCAGAGGAAGGGTGGGAAAAGTGGATCGAATACTTACCTTGAGGAGAGGCTGAACCAGGATGGCGAAAGACGGAAAGCGAATGGTCTCCCACCCAGACACTGGGCAGTCTTTTTGAACGTTTGTCAGCAGCTGCAGAGATAGACAGATTCATACCAGAGACTAATAGATGGAAAAGTATGGTTCTTTCTTGTTCCCCATGCTCCCTTGGTGACCAGAGGTGTGGTCAGCCCCCATCCTCATCCAACCCTAGCACTGCCCACTGCTGACCTGGAGTTCACAGCTATGAGGTTGTGGGCCATGCCAGAGTGAGGTGGGTGCATACGCTGCCTCCTTGGCACCTGGATTTCAGTGGGCTTTGCTCCAAACATTCAGAGCCTTGAGCTGGTGGGAGCCTCTGCTACTGGCCACCCAGCCCCTGGTGGCCCTTTGGTCCAGATGGAGAATGCCTGGAACTATGAGAACTCCATTTAGGATTTGGAATGATGTCATCGCCCCCAACCACCTTGCAAGCACCTTGATTAAGAGGAGACACCCAGAATTTGCTTCTCTTTTGAGTTCAGCACCTGCACTGTTTTATTTTTCTCATTTCATTGTTTTTCTTTATTCATTCTTTCTTCTCCTTCTTCCTCTCTTTCCCTATGCTTCCTTCTTATCTTTTCTGTCTCTGCTTTTGTTTTCTCTTCTTTTCTTCTATTCTCACCTCTTCTTTCATTTTTTTTTTTTTTCCTTTCCCCTCTTGATCTGTCTTTACTAGTCTCTGGTATGTTTCTCTTTTGTTTTCTCTAGTTTTTTTTCTTTTAAAAATTTTTTTGTTGTTTTTCTCTTCTATAACTCTATTTTACTGTCCCTCATTTCTCTTCTTAGATATCACATATATTTTTTTCTGTTTGATTGTTTTTAAATTTTCTCCTTTATTATTTTCTTTTTCACTAGTGTTGACTTGTTTGCTTTATTTTCTTATGTGTGCATTTTTCTTTTAGCCCCACCCAAAAGGAGACAGAAACTGTGCCCACACATTCCAAACACAACCATACCCTCTGCAGCTACAACCACTGGGCAAGAGTCAATACTAGTTTCTATACCATCTGATCAGCAGCCAACATCAGCCAAACCCATGCTAAATTGAACTGCATACACAGTGAATGGAGAACTTGGCACACACTGCCATTCTCTAATTACACCCACCAGGGGGCAACTGGTGAGAACTTAAGGACATATTGACATACAATCATCAATTAAATACAAAAACAGAGACACTACTATGTCTTGGCAATAACAGATAATTTTAGTTCACATGAAGAAACAAGAGAAAGTGACTAAAAAAAAAATGTCTAATATTCAGAGCCAGAAAATGTTTCTGAGGAAGAAAAGGTACTAGAAGTACCTGAAAAAGAATTCAGAAGAGTGATATTTTGGTACCTCCAACAGATTGAGAGAAAGATTGAGGAAATAAAGGAGAACACAGAAAAATTTTTAGAAGAAAACACTACAAGAACAATCAATGAAAATTTTGAAACAATACAAAACCTGCAAAAAGAAATTCAGAAGATCAATACTAAGATTTCAGAAATGGATAATGCATTGAAAGGGTACAGAAGTAGATCTAAATCAAGGGAAGTTGAAATTAGTGAGTTTGAAGATAAAGCTCTTGAAGATAAATCTCTCAATACTAGAAGACCAATCATGGGGAAAAAAAGATAGAAAGCCTAAGGGTTATGTGGGATACCATGAAGAGGAATAAGTTATGGGTGATCCGAATTCCAGAACAGGAAGACACAATATGGGCTGTTGATAGAAAACTTCTCTAACTCATGAAAGATGAGACAACACTCATTTGAGAAGTCTAAAAAACACCAAACAGGATAGACCTCAAAAGAAAATCACCAAGACCTAGCATAATCAAACTTGCCAGAACCAAAGACCAGGAAAGATTCCTGAGGACAACTCAGGAAAAATGAAAAGTTACCTCTGAAGGTGAACCAATAAGGCTAAACTGATTTCTTAGCAGAAACTATGCAGACAAGAGGACAATGGAATGACATATACAAAACTCTGAAAGAAAAGGAAAATTGCCAACCAAGAGTCATACACCCAGCAAAGCTATTTCTTAATATGATGACTAATTAAGGACATTTGCAGACAAACAGAAATTA